TTCACAATTGCATATGAACGACATGATCTTGCATAATGTATACGGAATTTCCACCAATCAAAGAAGTTAGACTTGTAGACTTGTTAATTATAATGCAGACCTGTATGAACGACGTAAAAATATGTCCTGCAATGGGATTGGCTGCTACCACTTTTGATAGATGAGTCCATTTCTTGTGTTCAAATGGTTGGTAGATTTGTCATGTCGGGATTTCTGAACTGAACTCATAGTAATAAGTGGACACAAGAGGGCGTGAAGCAAGTAATGGCGGTCTCGATGTGTATCCAAAGCAGAAACAAAGACGTCACAGAGATCCCGACTTGAGTCAAGTCTTGGTCTAGTACGATTGTGACATCACAGGAGAAAGGTCTGTAGGCCTGTCAGGAAAACCTCCCAGAAATCAGACTACTGCATGGTTTTCTCATTCTGGTTTCCTACCCCTTAATTCAACCAGATTTTCCTCAATGATTAATAACCTGTCCAGTCCTATTGACAAGCACCCTCCATTCTCTCCTGGTCCCTAAATACCTCAATGTTAGTACTTGCACGCAACTGACCAAATAGGTTTCTTTTATTTCATTTTTTGACTTTCCCCCCCAACTCACCAGAAGTGATATACTTCCTCAAGAGAAGTGTGCAGAAAAAAAACAGATTCCCGGAGGGAGATCTGAAAGGAAAAAAAATGGTCCAATGGGATTGAACCCGAAGGTGAAAACTTTAAGTGATTTAACAGGGTTTCTACAGTTTTTCTTTCCAACTTTCTGATGCAGGCGTCTTCTACAAAACAAGTTTTATAATGTCTGTGGTTTCATTGGGGGGATGTGGTCCATCTAGATCTAGCCTACCCCCGAAACTGCTCTCTGTCAACCAGTCAAAATTGTTTGAAGGGAATGCTTTACTGGAATCAGCGATGTTGCCTTCACAATTTACGCTCCTCAGTACCTTTGCATTGCATATTATTCATGTTATCTGAGAATTCACTGGAAGTGTGGTTGAAATACAAAATGGTCCATGTTGGGAATCCATCTTCACAGAACGCTGATTATGCTTCACCAGATGCTACAATAGAAATCTCACCTCTAGAAAACAAGACAAAAACCTAGAAACAAGTGAAGGGAATGGTCCAGGAGGAAAGCTTGCCAACTCTGACTACAGGATTTTCAGAGGGGAAAAATCATTCATCCCTGTCCAAGGTTGAACTCGATCTGTTCAAATTCCAGCATCTTTCACAGGAAGCGCTCGCGTGGAGCCTTAATGCACAACGAGAGCTAGCTCTTATGATTGGCTTGTACACGGCCCCCTAAAACACTTAGTACAGACAACATGTCTGGTTGCAAAGCCAGGATCAGCAGGAAATCCCTACTACATCAAGATCAAGCAATCAAATACCCTCGTGGGTGGGGGGGGGGGAACTGGAGGTTAATCCAGGGCAGCTCCTCCACCTGGGAAGGGAATGACTGAGGACTAGGGGAAGAGACCAATGACGTCAAGTCTCTTAACTCTCTGGGAAATGGGAAGTTGGGTCGGTAACCCCTTTCTCCCTCCCAACCAAACCGCAGCCATCACTTGCCGCAGTGACACAGCAGTAACAGATCTGCCTAATTGAAACAAAGGATGCTCGTTGAACGCTGAGTGATCGGCCATAAGTAATTAACACCAAATGTGACAGGTTGAAGTGTAATCTGTACACAATTGAAACACGCTGCCAGGATGGGTGGTGAAAAAAAGTCTGTCGGTGGTCCCTGGATATCAAAATACTTTCTGTACTGCGTTGCCGGCAACCACTTGCATACATATACATGTACATTGTTATCACAAAGTAACTGCTTCCTTGTGGTATTACTAAAACCACTTGTGTATATGCACTTTTGATTTGATGTTAAAAAAAACCACCTGCTGCACTTCTGTATTGGCAAAGTCTGCTGTTCGTCCATTTTGACCACTGCGCTTCACCACATCATTGCCTGATCTGTTTGCACCCCTTCATTCCTTGTCACATCCTGGCCCCCAGTGGTTGTTAAACTCCAGTTGTAATTGCTGTGTCGTTTCCACCCCCTTATTCATTGTCACATCCTAGCCACTGGAGCAGTGCCAATTACTATTATTACGCTTGCGAGTGCTTCGACTATATTCAACGGGTTATTCATTGCTGCATCATGGCAACTGGAGTGGCTGCGATTAATGCAACAACTCTAGTTATAACTTTGTTAGTTTTCCCCCGTTTAGTCATTTTCTTAAGGTTCCTGGAGTGGTTGCAATGATCACACAGCTCCAATTATAACTACTTGGCCTGTTTTGCCCACTTTATTCATTGTCACGTCCTGGCCTGTGGAGTTGTTGCAAATACGGCAACAACTCCACTTGAAAACAATGCAACCTCCTACTTGTTCCAATTTGGAACGTTGCATCCTCACTCGATTTAAACTAGAAGTGCTGCAACCGTGACATGAAAAAAATGGAGACCTGACCAAAAAAATGCTGACTTAAAAATCAAAGCGCCATACAGCAAGCAGTATAAATGGCTTCCGTATTCCTGTAAGCATATGAGGTATGCAAGAATATTCCTGGAGAATATTTCTATGTCAGGGCCAAAATCATAAATTCTCACTATAAATAAAACTGATGGGAGAAGAAAAAAAAAAGAGAGCCAGGTCAGCCCCGTTGCACAATAATCAGCAAGATTTTATTCAGGCCAGGTAACGTGATTGACACACGCAAGGTGCATTTCCACATGTACAGCCTGGTTAGCATCACAAATTGCCACAGTTGGAATTTATTCAAGTCACAGAGCAGCCAGATGTCACTGTGGGCCCCCAACAGGAGTTGAAGACACAAGGGGGGAGGGGGGGGGAGGGGGGACTGAAGAAAGAGAGTGAGCAGACTGCATTACTGAGTTGGGTTTGGAGTTTATGGTGCGACCCCAGCAACGCAGAATTCTTCTTGGTTCATGTTAGAGTCTTTTGTGAGGTAGAAAGAATTAATGAGTCCAAGTTGAAATTCGAAGTTAAAATGTTGCAAGCAACTTGAGTATTGTTCTTGCTTCTCAACCCAAGGGGGAGCTTTTTTTTTTGGATCATCGTTTGAAATTTGTAATGTTTTTTTTACCAGGATTGACACTATAGCATTCAGGAGAAAAAAAAAGAAATGTGCAGTATTTGAAGGCAAACTTTGGACAATATTGGATGCCTGTATGCAATTGTGCATCTTCTTTCTCTTGTTTCTGTGAAGTTGTAATGTAGCATTCTGCAAGAAAAATAAAGCATGGGAGCAAAACTGCAAAAGTGACGAACTCAACTTAGAATCATTCTCAATAAGCAAGTTTCAGAACTGAAGGTTATACAAATGTACGCCCCATTCTTACATCTGAGTGCTTATCATACTGAGAGCTTTTAATACAAATTGTTAGTTTACACTGTCAAACTAGTGGCGTGAGGAGGTTGAAGTTGATCCGTACTCCATGCATGAGATGAATGCCGGTGCAAATATGATGCCAAGTTTGCTCAATCTCGGCAAAATTTCCAGCCTGAATAACACTGCTGGGAAGTGATGTACACTCTCATTCAAGGGTACAATTTGTGTCAAGTATGACCGTTAATGCATGCTGGTAGTCGGACACTGTGAGCACGGCAGGACGTGAGACATGGTATGGTGAAACACTGAACAAAGTTAAGGTGTTATGATCTTAATTCTCAAACCACACATGGTCAGTACAAGTTGGTCATCACAAATCGGTAAAATGCATTGAGGACTGGTACAGAGTCTCTTCACTCTTCTCGTACAGGAAACTCACGTTCAGGTGAGATTACAAAAATCCCTTAAAATTTAAAACATGCCATTTGAGGGATTGCAGATATTGTATTCTTTCAAAAAAAGTTTTATCACTGTTTTTCAAATCCAGACACATGATCACACATAAGCCTGTAGACCCCTTGCAACTGGTACTAGGTATTGATTCCTTTAACATGGTAAGAAACCACTGAAAAAAAAAAAAAAACATGGAGAGCAATCCCTCCGTAAATGAAGCGGCCCGAACCAACGGGAGAAACACTGTGCCCACAACTGCATTAAACAACTGGTCCTTGATGGGCTGTCCAGTTGAGGGATTTCACACCAGCGCTGTCTGCGCATATCCACATCAAAATCAAGGCTCTCTGTGTTGAACTTCTCCACGCACGCCCGCGGAGCCAAGACAGTACATGCAGTATCCGGATCGTAAGTGTGACGCCACTTCAGTTTAAACCACGCCTACTGCACATTCAGATATACGACCATCGCAGGTACGTTAGTTCGCGGTACATTGCCATAATTTTTTCTTTTGATTTTACCTGCCGAGTCATCCTGAAAGACTCTTCCACAATAATTTGCAGCCTGATAAGTCTGAATTTAACACACCTTTATGTATTTTGTGTCTTGACTCCTTACTTTCAATCATTCGATCATGTTAAGAATCAAAGCTGACACATACAGCCTTGTTTTCAAATGCGGAAGTGCAAAGATCGACGCTAAGTGTCGTATTGGGATCCCTCTATGCTTTCACCTCTTGCAGGCAATAGGAGTGTTCAGTGGTGAGGCGTCTGGATTGATAGTCATCAAACTTCAAATAATCACTGGATGGTCACTCTCGTCTGGCTTAATGTCTTTTGGGGGAGGAAAGGGGACAAAGCATCTTACAGCTACAAACTGACGAACTTAACTAACAGAAGGGGGTTAAGTCTGAAGTATTTTTAAGCCAATTGGTGATTTTCATCCACTTTCCTTCTCTCGTTTCTCTTTCTAGTGCTCCCCCTGTTTATTTTTCTGTTTCAGAAAGTGCCTCCCTCCCTCCCCCCGACAAGCCTGCATGGTCAGGTTGGAACGGTCTCCTTTTTTGTTGGTGAACTTGTCCCAGAGATCCCTCCCTAAATCACCACTCACAAGGTTAATAGTTATTAGTCTCATCACATGTATTGCAGTCAATGCAATTGGCAAGGGATTAGTATCCACACAAACAGCACCTGTACCTATTTCGCCGCCCGGTGGTTCTCTCTGCGCAAAAGCGGATGTTGGCCGATGCAGCAGCTGGGAGTTACCTCCTACAAGTTTGGCAGGAAAAGATTTATTCATTTTTTTTTTTATCATAGGGACATGAACTTTTACAGGCGTGTCAAAACTTAGACAATGAACCCCCTTTTTTGGGGGGGAGGGCTGAGGGAGCAGGATCCTACATGTACATTTATTTTACTGAGCATATTCTGATCAGTGTGGAAAAGAAGGGCACAACGTGGGGGCCCAAATTGTGATGTTGAGCTGTCAATAGAAGGGGTGAAGGGGCCAAGGGCAAGACATTCTGCCCTCCAGGCAATCTCGAAATGTTCACAGCACTTTGAGATGCTTTCGCTAATGCGCATTTTTATCTCATCAAATTCCTCTCACAGTCATTCTAATCAGGCAAAGGGATGTGTGACTGAGTGATTTGGGTTTGTCATGCAGGATCATAGGGTTGGGACAGAATAAAGAATATGTCTCGAGAAACAGAACAAGGCAGATGAACTGGTTCTTCAATTTTCAGTCTCCTCCTGAATGGTTTGTATAGAATAAATAACTTCAAATTGAACATTACTGGCAATAAAGCGGCAACACAAGCTTTCCCAGAATTATACGTATCCTGTACCAGTCTTCTGGAAACGGTCCAACTTTTTGGCTTCCTAAGTTCCTAAAGGTGTTTAAACTGGCACTCCTTAAATACAACTCTCAGCTAGACACAACTGCCACTCCTTCCCCCGAACCCTCAGTATAAACCACCCACTTGCTTCTCAGCTGCAAGTTCCTTGCTGACCGTTTACAATTTGTGCAATCGAAACCTTTTTTTCTGGGTAGACACAAAGCTGCCGGCACCAGGCCTGGTGTAACATCACCTCAGTAAACACAGGAAACAGTAATATCATCAGATACGCCAAAGATAAGCCTGTAGGCAGTTTGGTTGTCAAGAGAAAGTTAACGAGAGTGAATCCCCGCGCTGTACCACTCAAAATTGTTGACATGGAGCTACTGATTTGTTTCATTCCATATTTCTACGAAATCACCTAGACTTTTGTACTTTCTAAAGCAATTGTGGTCACTGCAAAAAGGTTTCCCCATCAATTTTGGTACACCTTTTCAAAGACAAAGGTCCAGTGATTTTAAGTGATGTCACTTTTTCAGGGAACAGGACAAGTAAACTACACCAGCATTTAGGACAAACAACGTCGCGTGACAAATTAAAGTGCACTGGTGTCAAAAGGGCCAGTTTTTTTCCCCTTCAAAGTTTATTTTAGAATTGAGATGCAATTTTTTTTTCTGTCAAGTCATACCTATTTCTTTATTCCATAATAAAAAAAATCTCCCATAAACCATCTCAAAAATGTGACTATGGAATTTGAGCATACGAAAAGCATTCCGGCGTGTACATCAAGCAAGGTTTGCCATGTGCTGTCTGTACTAACAGGGTCCATTACCAAGCTTACTAATGTCAGCCATAGCTCATACAACCTGTAAATTGTTCTCATACTATGGAGACAAAACGTTCAATAACTTTCCTGTAAAACTGTGTATTCCTGAAATCCTCACTTTCAAGAAAGCACTGAATTCTGCAGAAAACACAATCTGTCCTACGGAGTGCTTCACACTCAGCTTATCTGTATTATGAGGAGGACCTCAACAATCAACAATTTCAATTTAATTTTCCAAATATCTTAGTACAGCAGATGTTGGCAATTTGTCAGGTTTCACAGCAAGGTTGCTATAAATATCTAAAATCATTCCACTGATATCTAAAATCATAAACTGGTTGATTGCGGTCACCTTCGGGGAAGCTCTCCACCTACCAGTGATGCCCAGGATATTGACAATCCATCCCAACAGGCAACAAGTTTGCTTCACGAGTTCTAAGAATCTAGTTCTAAGAATACACTCACCTGAATCTGGACTATGAAACGGACAGGCAAGAGGGATATTTTCAATCTCCCACTATTCTCACCTTACTGCTGCTAATGAAATGTTGAGCGTTTGCCCTTTTTAAAATGTATAATTGTTCAACTCTGTATACTCAGTGAAACATTTACAAGTTCACTCAAGTAGGATTGGAACCCAAGACCTGCTTATAAGGGTGGAGGTCTCACCACCTGACCACAGCATGTTGGGGTTTGCTGGCCATGCTCGAGTCAGATGAGAAGAGGGTGCTGTGTCAAACATCTCAGTGAAGCAAAACTTAACTTTCATAAAAACAGTAATTCCATGAATGTACATATTTAGAAAAGAGAAAACATCGCAAATGTCTTGTCTTGAAGTGATGTGATATATAAAATGTAGGTTTACTGCTTGGGACCTTTATTCACTTGAACGTCAAAGCCACGGCTACCAACCCCTCCCTTCCCCGAAAGCAAAAATCCTAGCTGTGCCAACTGTTCTCAGATCCAGGCCCAAACTCTCAGGGGAAAAAAGGAGGAGGGACACCAAGATTTCTTCATGAAGGTTTCGTGCCTGCCAACCACATCCTCTGGGTGCATACTTTTTGTTGACGGCACAGGCAGGTTTGCAAGCCTGAGGCATGGAGCATGCTAGACCAATTTTCCTTAGAATTGAGGTTCCTGCGCCGGCACAAGGTGTACCATGAAAGCAGTTTCCCTAAACGGCTCTCTTCTTTGCCAACACAATACATTTTTCCTCTCCTGTGATACAAGATTCTTTTCAAGGGGGGGAGGGGATGATCCCCCAATATATGAGCTGGCTTGAGATATCAATAACTGAGCCCTGGTCTCTAAAACAAGACCTAAAGTCATACAGCTGCACAGCAGGAAATCTTGCTCATCAGATGAAGGTGTATACCAGTCAAATTCAACCAACAAACCACGTTTTTTGGGCCGGCAACCAAGTTTCGGCCCTGCTCAGCAAATGTACATGCTTAAGGGCTTCAATCTCCAATTTCAATGCTGATTTTTGATCACCCTTGGAAGTGTAGGTTAATTAAACACGTCCACTGACTTACAGATAATTACAAAGTCCCCGTGACTAAGACAGACAAAGAAAAGCATCACGATGAACCTGGGAAGCTGGCAGATAGAACAGTTTCCCCAACTAAGGGAGAGGTACATGTAAGTGGAAGGAAGATGTACAATTCAGCTATTCAGCGATTGAATCATACCAGGCCGTGATCTTCACGCACATAGATAAGCTATACCTGCCCAGGGGTTAATCGTTTTATTCAATGGCATCCGATCCATTAAACACACACGGCTGTTTTTTTTTTTTTTCCTGGAAGTTTGACAGGGCTTGTGTCAACAGGCCTTCCTGCTGCCCCCTGGGTTGATGCAACGATGCAGTCAGTGAGATCTTTTCGAGGCAGCCTGGCAGGCACATGTAAGCTTTATGAGAAAAGGGGGGGGAAGGATGATCTCATACAAAAAAATCCCGTATTCTTCCAGCAAGTGCCATGATGAGGCAATGCTCGTCATTCCCTCCAGTGGTGCTGACTGATGTCATTTCTGGCATCGTTACATCAGGTTCATCTGATGATGTGGATGGGGTGACGTGGCCTTTCCTCATTGCAGAGTTCAAAGAAGTGCATGTTTTCATTTGAAGCACTAAGGAGGGAAATACAAGGAAATGTCCAGCATGCCTTGCCTAAGTTTCACCTCATTTTCCCTCCTGTTTGTGGATGCACAATTTGCAGAATTCATCTGGATAGCTATCATCAATTTAGGACCAATTTTGTACACATTCTACTGAAAACTGGTCCCACACACTCAGATCGATCTGTGCCCAAAGGTCACACTGCCACCTGCAGAGTCCACACATGCATAGAGACTGTGCTTATATGCAAGGGATGCAGCACTACCAACATGCCCCCCCATCCGAGAGTGCTTCATGGAGGTGACCCAACCAGTATCCCCTGGGGTAGCTGCTTGGCCAGATTTGAGGGTTTGACTAGTCCCTCAGCCATGATCATCAGGGGGGGGATGAGCCCACAGTTTGCAGCTTTAACATGATTCTGGAAGGGGAGGAAATAAAATAGACCCTCCAAAAAAAAAATCGCATTTCTCTCATGATTTTTCAAAACAAAACAAAAAAAACTGAGGGGGCCATGCTCCTTGTTGGCCCCCATGATCTGCTCCTGCATGCACTTTGTATGTGAGGCTTTCTTTCCCGTAACACGCTAGCAGATCAACTGTTTAACTCCTGATACATTCATTACAATCATGAGGACCTCTACAAAAACACCAGAAAAAATGGGAACAGAGCTTAGGGTAACTTTAATCTTCTTTGTTGAGACCTATATGTACTCTCTTTTCATACACAGGCCTACACATTCATGTTCAAAAGGATGATCTCTTTGAAACACAAGTTTCTCATTTGATTACTTTCAAAAGCATGACGCCACAGTAGTCATCGTGAATCATCAAGAAAAATGCATACATGTACATACTGTGAACAATCTCCATACAATAAAAGGATCCTGACAGCCCCCCCCCCCGACTGCGGATCGCTGCTCTTCCTGCACTCATGCTAAGGTCACAGTCAGGTCTATTTTACGTGCATTCCCTCATCCGAATACATTTCACAGGATTATGCAAAAGCACGCACTTGGGTTGACTTTCCACATTTCTCAGAACATGGACTTCTTCATATCCCAATGAAAGCTGTGACTTAATCCATGACTTCATCTCAAAAATTCCCCCACCCCAACAAACAAACAAACAAACTTTAAAAAAAAAATCCCTGTCGATGTATGACCTTGAGGCTGTCACCATGAAGCTCTCAGCTGTCTACAAGATATGCCCTTGACCCAAGCTAATCCACAAATACAGACAACTAAAAACAGTGCTGACGAAAGCCTAGCTTAGAAAAACTGACAATATTTTACTTTTGATGATATAGGCCATATGCATATTTCTGTCCTTATTTCAATTCAGTAATACCAGCAATGAAACGACCAGAAAAAAATTTCATAGTGCAATTCGGTATTTACTTTTCAAGAATTTTCGGTCTAATTCAAGTTGCACACATCAGCGTGCGTGAAGAACTGTTGCATGGATCACATCTATTTTAGCACTCTCGT